GCTGGAGCCAATCGAGGCAAAGCGAGTCAGCGCTCGATTCAACACGCAGACTAACAAGAGTCAACTTTCTCCGTCGTGCCAGACGACGGCGCGGGGATTACACTCCTATTACTTCACACACCTCTGTCCAGCTTCGGGAATGATGCGTGCCTTTGGAATTCTTCATTCTATGGGCGCTGATTCAGCGTCAAGCACCAAAACCATCCTTCACTCTGGAATGAAGTTCCGAGCGCAGAGATCGCAATGCTGCAGTTCCCTTCCCAGGCGTCCGCGTTCGCATCCCTTATACCGATGACTGAGTTTGTCTCTTCCAGATATATCAAAGTGCCTGGCCTCCAGGACTCGCCTCCAATGTACCCTACGACGGGGTCTTTCACAGGAACCGATCCTAGAGCTGATTTTTGTAATTGAGACCGCGCAGCATGGCGGAACGCAAAAGAGCAATCCGGATCGGAAACAGGTATGTCACATCTCACACTCTCTCAGTACACCTCGGCCGTATTGACATTCTGAGTGCTTCAGTTCCGGCGCAGCTGGCGATGGTCCGGATCAGGTGTACCGTCTGGCCACCGAGGGACCTATCGACGCCATCTTCTCCGACTATCTGGCCGAGGTCAACATTGCATGGCGAGCTCTGGAGCTGGTGGACAAACCTGAATTGGGCTACGAGACGGCGTTCCTCACCCATCTCAACCACAAAACCGCGGCGGAAGAGGTGTTCAAACGGGGCATCAAGCTCGTTCACGATGGCGGGGCACTGAATCCCCGAGGTCTGTATGAGGCAACCAAGAAGCTTTTTGCGGACAAGGGACTCGGCCAGGTCAAGATTGCGTGGGTCGAGGGTGACAACGTGACGAGCGAGGCACTTGAGCAGAAGCAGAGCTTTGCCCATCTCGACATCCACGGCGTCGAGACGTCGCTCATCAAGAACAAAATCTTGTCTGCAAACGCCTACATAGGCATGCGGGGCATCATTGCCGCCCTGGACGCCGGCGCCCAGATCGTCATCTGTGGGCGCATTTGCGATGCATCGCCCGTCATGGCACTCGCTGCATGGTAAGTTTGCCCCGACCGTGCCCAGTCTCAGGTCGACTGGACATGACAGAGGCCCCCTTCGAGTTGACCGAGTATTATCAGGTGGCACGGCTGGTCAGATACCGACTATGACAAATTGGCAGGGAGCTTGATTGCAGGCCATGTCACCGAGTGCGGACCTTACACCACAGGGGGCAACTTTTGTGGCTTCAAGGCGATCCCCAAGCTGTACGAGGTCGGATACCCGATTGCAGAGGTCGAGGCCGACGGGTCCGCTGTCATCACCATGCACGAAAACTCCAACGGCGCCGTCACCGTCGACACGGTCACGGCGCAGCTGGTCTACGAGATCCAAGGACCGACCTACCTCAACCCCGATGTGGCTGCTCTGCTCGAGGACGTCCGCATCGAACATGCTGGGAAAAATCGTGTCCGGGTCTCCGGCGTCAAAGGCATTCCGCCCCCACCGACGACGAAGCTCGCCATCTGCACATTTGGGGGCTACCAAGCCGAGGTTTCCACCTACGCTGTGGGCCTGGACGTGAAAGAGAAGGCGGAGCTGCAGAGGATGCAAGTCCTGCGGCGTCTGGACCAGTCGAAGTTCTTGAAGATCGCCATCGACACGTACGGCTCCGTACCCGAGGACCCGCGATCCCAGAAGGACGCGAGTGTTCAGATCAGGCACTTTGTCCAGGCGTCGACCAAAGAAGCCATTGGGGAATTCTCGCAGGCTTTCTTGTTCACGTCCATGCAGGGCTATGGTGGATTTCATCTGTAAGAATTCATCTCACTCCACGTGCTTTTCACGAAAAGACTTCTAAGGCAGAGCATTCCTTGTCGTTTTGGACTGCCAGCCTTTCTTCACATAGACTGACTTAACTGGCTGCCACAGAAACATGGACATTCGAACCCTCGCCCCGAAGCCCTTTGTGACGTACTTTCCCGGAAAATATCCCCAAGAGTCGCTCAAGGTCCGAGCCCACGTCGAATTTTCCGACGACGCCGACCACAAAGCCCTCCCAGTCACACCGCCGCCCAAGTTCCAAGACTTTGAGGGGCAACGCTCCTACGACTCTACCGACCCGGTGGCCCTGTCGACCTTTGGCCCGACCACCCGCGCCCCGCTGGGAAAAGTGGTTCTCGCCCGGTCCGGCGACAAGGGCGGAAACGCCAACGTGGGGTTATGGGTGCGCCACGACGACGAGTGGCCCTGGTTGCGGTCGTTCCTCACCATCGCGCGGCTCAAGGACCTCCTCGCCGACGACTACCGGCCCGAGTACCGCGTCGATCGGTTCGAGCTGCCCAACCTCCGCGCCGTGCACTTTGTCGTCTACGGCATCCTGGAGGACGGCGTCAGTTCGTGCAGCCTGATCGACGGGTTCGCAAAGAGCTTCGGCGAGTTCATCAGGGCCCGTCAGGTGGATATCCCGCAGGCGTTTTATGCTCGGCCGCACGTAGGCGAGGAGCTGCTGGATGGATATCAGAACGGTGTTTGATCTGCTCTGGGGTATATGACAGACACCCACTCTCACTACCGGATGGGAATTCGCCGGATATGGTATGGCTCTTGTATGTATGGCAGCAACTCAAGGGAAAGCCCTTGGTGGTGGATTAACCCCCTCACATAGCAGCTACCTCAATCAAGAAGAATGGACCCTTGATTTGTCTCCCTGTCTATCAATATTTTGGAAAAGCTGGTACTGGCACTGGCCTTTGAGATATAGATATTCAACCACATTCGCTCACCCCGCCCGACCCCGACAACTCTCACTGCCATGAGTTGCTATACATCTACACCAGTCTCACGAGGTAGGACCATCTTGCGCAGTCACAGCCACTGTTAAGATAGTGGTGTATAAAACACACACTCTCCACCACCGTCTCTTTTAGGCGTTACGTGTATAGGTATTAGAAAAAGTCCACCACCATACGCCCAGCTTCCACCTTCCCAGCCTTCATCAGATCGATCATCTCATTCAAGTCCTCCAGCTGGAACCGTCTCTCGTTGACCAGCGGCGTAATGTGCTTTCGCAGCGTGAAGTCGAGGCATTTCCTCGACGAGGCCTGGCCGGGGACGTGGGATCCGATCAAGCTTTTTCAGTGGTCAGTTACGGAACGAAAAGTATACACACGCGTACATCTTTTGGCGAAAAAAAGAAGCTTGCTGCGTCTTTCTTTCGCTCGTATTGGGTCGGGCGGGGTGGGTGGGTTGCTTTCCTTACCTGAGTGATCGCGCCGTAAGCAGTTGGGCGCTGATGGGTATCTCAGAGTGTGGTAGGCCAACGGCTATCACTCGTCCGTAGGATCGGACAATGGCGAGCGCGGTGTTGTAGGCGGGCACGACGCCTGAAGTGACGATGGCCACGTCCACCAGCTCGCCGTTGTTGGCGTCCAGGACTCGTTGGCTCAGAGCTTCAGGCGCGAGCCCGCTCGTGTTGATGACGCTCTGTGCCCCATACTCGCCCTTGACCGTCTCGAGCTGTGCGTCTCTGACATCGAGGGCAATGACTCTGGCTCCCAGCGCGGCAGCATATTGCACCGCCAGCTGGCCCAGGCCGCCGGCGCCGACTACTGCGACCGTTTCTCCCATTCGCAGGTGCGCCTGCTCCAGGGCATCCCAGACCGTGATGCCCGCGCAAAACAGAGGGGCAAGCCGTCGCGGAGACAATGGGAGCTGGCTCGGGCTCGAGCTCGCGCCTCGAGAGACCACCACGGCCGACGCGGCGTCCACGCAGGTATACTCGGAGAAATATCCCGGACAACTCATCCCCTTGACCTGCATCTTGGAGCAGAACTGTGGCCCGGCCTTGCGACAGTCGGTGCATTCCAGACACATGTTGTGCCACAAGGGTGCGCCGACCAGATCGCCCACTTGGAACCCTTCTCCCCATTTCGCGGCGTCCGGTCCAAGTTCTTCCACTACCGCGACGGCTTCGTGGCCGATGATCTGCGGGAAGAGACCCGGGCCGCCAAAGGCGCCCGAGATGATGCTGATGTCCGAATGGCACAGCGAGGCCGACTTGACGCGGCACAGCATTTCCCGTCCCACGGGCGTCGGGACCGGGACAGTGTCGATGGAGATGGGTTGGTCTGGCTACGTCTCCGTAAGTAATACTCTCAAAGGGTGCGTCGACTTTGGCGCTGGCACAAGGTAGTGGAGTGGTCACAAACCGAATGGCAGACAGCTGCCTTCATAGTCCTTTGGCCCATGATGTTTCTAACGTCGAGTGTGTGTCTCACACATACACACACGATCAGGGAAATGAGCAAAGACCGAATCACCTTATGGATAGAGCCAAAAGAGCTTGGATTCACCTTGACAAAGGTATCGTTTAGTCCAACGAAGGATATTCTTGTTGAATACCACAACGGTCAGTGCTTGTCAAAGACCATACTCAGACCGACTCTGACGCCGAAGCTGAGGTCGGTTGATAACTCTGTGATCATATAACCGGCAACCTGCTCTTTGCACAACCACATATTGTCGAGACAGGCGCGGTAAATCAACCAAGAGTCACTTATTCTGAGGCCCGCTCGATTCGCCTCAATCATCTAACCGTTCCCTATGTCCCTTTTTGGTGCCATACTCGGCACGTACATCGGGCTCAGTTGGAGGTGGAGCCGCCTGGCACTGAATCGTCCTGAGAGTCAGCGCTCGCTCGCTCGTGTCACTGTTACTCGTGCTGTATTTCGAGCACAGTCCCGTCTCTCCCTTATTCAGTTAAGCATTAGCATGATGATAGCGCTGACTTGTTATTCCCATCAGCCAAGGCGCTATGCGGTTCGGAGCAGACAAGGGCCGGGAAAAGCATCACAAACTGTCACCGAAATGCTGTCCTTGGGTATGCAGAGGCCACCTGTGAGGAGACATTCAAAGAAGGTCTGCGTCCTCAAATTGAGGTTGATGTCTGGACAATAGCAGAGATCCCCGAATGTAGAGATTTCGGCCAGAAGTATCTAGCAAAATGGGCTCAGTTACTCCTCCAGCCGAGGCGGGCGAGTTCGAAACTCGACTGTTCATAAACGGAAATGTTTGTATTTTTCCAATCTCTGATTGTTGGACTGTCTGCCGATTCTCGTCTAAGACTGACACTTTCCACCACGTACAGTTCGTCGAGGCCAAAAGCACAAATAGACTCAGCATATACAGTGCCAACGACAATTCGCTCGTCAGCTCAGACGTCCACGTCGCCGGACAAGCAGATGTGGACGACGCCGTGGCTGCCGCGAGAGCGGCCTTCAGCTCCTGGGCATCAACCCCGCCGATACAAAGATGTAAGCTGCTGCTACGCCTGGCAGATTTGATCGAAGCGAACGCAGAGGAATTGGGCAGACTCGAGGCCCTGTGTTCTGGCAAACCCATGTCCCAAACGCGGCAGTTTGAAGTGCCCCTGGCGGCAAATGTCTTCAGATGTAAGAATTTCCATGTTCCCCTCGACACATCCCCCATAGTTGTCCTGATGATGAATGAACGCTGCAGACTACGCGGGTTGGTGTGACAAGCTCGAGGGAGAGTCGTGGCCCGCAGACAACGGTTTCATGAAGGTCGTCCGACGAGAGCCGCTCGGGGTCTGCGCCGCCGTCAACGCTTTCAACGGCCCGCTGGTCATGATTGCCTTCAAGGGCGCGCCGTGCCTCGCGGCGGGAAACACCATGGTCATGAAATCCAGCGAGAAGACGCCCTTGAGTACCATTTTCTTCGGGAAGCTGCTCCAGCAGGCTCAAATTCCGCCTGGCGTGTTCAACCTGCTCTCTGGAGCTGGGGAGACAGGGGCGCTGCTCGCGTCGCACATGGACGTAGACAAGATCTCTTTCACGGGGAGTGTCAACACGGGCAAGAAGATCGCCGTCGCCGCAGCTTCCAGCAACCTCAAGCGAGTCACACTGGAGCTTGGTGGGAAAAGCCCCAGCATTGTGTTTCCTGACGCAAATCTCGATGTTGCAACACAGTGGTGCGTGCAAGGCATCGTTGGCAACTCCGGCCAGGCTTGTATAGCCAGTTCACGCGTCTATGTGCACAAGGACATCAGGGAGACCTTTGTACAACGCCTCAAAACCGCTTTCGAACAAAGTCATGCTGCTTTTGGAAAAGATGCACACTCGGACTCAACACATATCGGGCCGTTGGTCGACAAGTCGCAGTTTGAGAAGGTGACCCAATATGTAGAAGCTGGCAAGGCAGAAGCCACTCTAATCACTGGAGGTCAAGCCTTGTATGATCAAGTAAGTTCCTCCCGAAAGGGGAGGAAATGGGTTGAGCAAACTTTTGTCCCCGGGATTTTTCACTGACCAAACAACCCCAAGGGCTGTTGGATGACTCCGACGATTTTCCTGGACCCTGTGCCGGATGCAAAAATCTACAGAGAAGAAATCTTTGGCCCCGTTGTGGTCGTGAGCGACTTCAGCACCGAAGAAGACGTCATCCATCGTGCAAATGCTACAACCTTCGGACTTTCAGGAGCCGTCTTCACGCAGGACGTCAATCGAGCGATGAGGGTGGCGTCTCAGATCACCAGCGGCACAGTGTGCGTGAACTGCTGCACCATGGTTGACTATACAGTGCCATTTGGAGGTCTCAAGCAAAGTGGCTGGGGTCGAGAGCTTGGAAAGGTGTGTCGACATATTCCCATGTTTGATCCCCAGAGGACTTGGAGATTCTTCGTCGCAGGATGACAAACTGCTGGGATCCTCTGCTGACACGATCTGTCTATCTCTAGGCTGGGATCCATGCATACACAGAGCTCAAGACGGTCTTCATCAAGTATGACTTGCTAAATCTGGTACTTGGTGATGCATTGCTAACAACAAAAATTAGCTTAACGTATTAGATCTCACTATCTACCCATAGCGGAATCATCATCAGTCTGGAAGGATGGAATATGTATTTTCTGGAGGGAGAAACTTGCGTTGCGTTGGTAGAGCTATGGGTAAGCTCGCCATGTGGTTGCGCCCTAGGCACTCTTAGTTGTCGAGATAAGACAGATCCGTAGTGTGCATGATATATCAAACCGTGTACGTGACCGAGTCAACAGGGAGACCGTCCAGAAGATTCGGATACGCGTTAATAAACTCTGGCGTCAGGCCCCAGCCCTCGACGCGGCTGAAGACCTTGTAAAACTCGTCGCGCATCTTCAACCCGTCGTTCTCGCTCGCCTCTAAGATCTCCTGACCCCATGGCCAGCGCACTTTGAGGCAGCAGGACATCATGTCGAAGATGTTGGGGAGTTGGGTGATGTCGGCCATCCTGATGAGATTGAGCCGGAGAGCGGGCCACAGGATCATGTCGAGGTTGACCGGGTGCGCTTGTTGTATTTGTTCCGGAATCGGCCACAAGAAGGGGGGGATTCGCGCGAAGCTCTCCGGGGTTGGGTGTACCCTCCATTTGCTGAAGACGTAGAGCAGCCAGCCGATTGCCAGGCGCTCCGGTTCGGCCACACGTGATTTCCGCAGCGCCGTATGAATCGAGTTGGCGAGGAAGTTCTGGCGCGATCCGAACAGGAGGTCAAGTGGCTCGGGCTCTTCCGGAGAGGCCGCCACCGCGCTGGGAGAATCGAACCAGGGGCTCGACGCTTTACTCAGCGGGTCTCCTGATGTGTTATTCGGGGTCAGCGACCATCTGGGGAGAGACGGTGTTTGAGAATCGGCAAATGACAGACTCGAGTCAGAGTGATTGCACGCCCGACTCCGTGAATGGTTTGGAGGAGGCAGCCTGATACTGCTTCGCGGCATCTGCTGCGACGGCCTTGAATGCGACGGTCGCGATGCCTCCTTGAGACCTGTTCCTGCTGTAGACTCGTCGCAATCCTGTGGAGAATTGTCGAATTCTGTCAGAAACGGATGGGGTGGATGATCAGATGGAGGAACCCAATATCGACCAGAGTCGAGATTACCGGTCAAAGTGCACAGAGCATCTGATGAGCTCTGGAGTATTCTTGTTGAATCTGGACTTCCGGGGAAGGGAACTTCCCCTGGTAGAGACTGGCCGTCAGGTCCCTGTTGTGATTTATCCGCGCTTCTCATGGTCCCTGTGGCTGCCACATCTGATGTGCACAGTATGCCCGATATCTGCAGACATCCAGGTTCGGTGGACCTGGTACCGCCATGTAATGACGGAGCCATCTGATCGTCGTAGCTGAGAGTCGTATCGACCACGCTTGCTGGGGGGGTTTGGTGCATTGAGGTTACCATTTGGTTGGCTGTCCTTTGTAGCGAACCAGCTAAACCCATCATCGTCTCTTGTTGTCTTTGCAGAAAGCGATTCTCCAGCTCGAGGGTATGGATTTTTCCGACCAGGACGCTGACGGCGATTGAACCATGGTTCTGCTTACAATAGGAGACTTGGTCTTCCAGTAGTTTTATTTGATTGTCTCTTTTCTCGCGGAGTTTCTGCTGTGCGCGGCGATCACGGAGCCTTTTCCTTTCCGCAGAGGTCATGGTGTTGTCGTGCATTGTAGCTGTATGGTATGGATAGCTCATATTCGGTGCTCGAGTTGCATACGACGCCACAAACAGGATGTTCTTGGGTAAGAAGTGCCCTTCCGTCTCTTTGATGTGGGAAATGCACGAGAGCTCTCAAGGCCCGTGTCGGATAAGAACTCGGGGCCCATAGCAAGACGCGTTAGCGGCACTCTCGGCCACAACTCTGCGGGGTGTTGGTGCTTGACCTTGTACCCGACTTGTGGAGGCGGGGACTGTGGAGGCTGCTGTGAAGGGCAAGGTGTCAATCCGTCGCTGGGTGTGTCTTCACCCAGGGATGCATAAAACTGCATAACTCGTGGAGACAGAACCGAAGCGATCGTGGCGGAGGTTGATATGCAATTCCCTGCCACCACTGTTAGCAATGATTCACCCCGTGATGGGCTAGGGGCTAGAGTAAAGACAACAAACACTGACTCACTGGGAGAAACCAGCAGGGAACAAATAGAAATCCATGGTAATCCTCTCAGCGACAAAGGCAGCTGAAAGCGAAGTGAAGTGAAGTGGAGCTCGGCAGCCACTGAGCAACTTGTGCCTGATCCACGACGAGTCAGCGCTGAATCAATCCTTGACCCCTCCCACCACCTCCTCTCACATTCGAAGCCTTCCCATACACCTGGACATCAGCCTTGGTGTGGTCCATTTGTTTGATCTGTCCGAGGTGGAGATGAGACCTGCTAGCAAGAAACCCCCTGGGGCTCGAAGGTCGACACGCGAATCAATATACCAAGACAAACCTGATAATGGCCTGTGATCAAGAGTCGAGACTGCGGCACTTGATATGGGATGGATATCGAGAGGTCCACAAGTATACATCCAGATTGAGGACCGGTGGCGTGCTCTACTTACAAAGGTTTGAAATCTTCGGTTGATATCTTTCGTTCAACAAGGCCCTTCATTCCCCCTTACACACATCTTTCTCTGTCGATTCTAATCAGTCAGAGACTTCTCACATCTGCCGCCTTCTACTGCCCAGAATGTCGTCCATTGCCACTGCAGACCTCGAGGCACCGTCTACCAACGGCCATATTCCCACCGACTCGGAGACCAGATGTCGCAGAGCACCAATTCATGCCAACAGACACATGCGGGTGGTCTGCATCGGGGCGGGCGCCTCGGGAATCTACATGGCCTACAAGCTGAACCACTCATTTACCGACTTCTCCCTCGACGTCTACGAGAAAAACCCCGACATCTCGGGGACATGGTACGAGAACCGCTACCCAGGATGTGCCTGCGACGTCCCCGCTCATAACTACACCTATTCCTTCGAGCCAAAGTCGGACTGGTCAGCGAACTATGCCACTTCGAAAGAGATCTTTAAGTACTTTGCGGATTTTGTCGACAAGTACGACCTGCGGAAATACATCACCTGCAACCACGAAGTCGTCGGTGCGCACTGGGATCGGGACAACAATGAATGGGTGGTCCGAGTCCGACGACCCAGCCAAAATGTTTTCGAACAGCGGTGCGACTTTCTGATCAACGCTGCTGGCATTCTGAACCATTGGCGATGGCCAGCAATCCCGGGTCTTCACTCCTTCAAGGGTGACCTGGTGCATAGCGCTGCTTGGGATGAGAAGCTGGACGTGACTGGCAAGCACGTTGGCCTGATTGGGAACGGGTATGTCCACCTACGATCCTCGATGACGGAGACCCTGGTTGGTATCTGACGAATGTACAGCTCCTCGGGAATCCAGATTCTACCCAAGATGCAAGAGTAGGTATTTCTGAATTTGATTTTCTATTGAAGCTATGCCTGAATCCACAATGACACTCTGCACAGGCAAGCCCGTCATGTTACCACGTTTATTAGGGAGCCTACCTGGGTAAGCCCCGTTAGAGGCATGGAATATCATGAATACAGCGACGAAGAGAAAGAAATGTTCCGCCTCAAGCCTGAGGTTTGGCTGGAAATGCGGAAAAGGGCCGAAAAGGCAATGGCTTTGGTCTTCCCATTGATGCTCAAAGGATCTGCCAGTCAGGAAGCGGCAGCAGCGTACATGAAGAGCCAGATGGTGCAGAAAATCAACAACGACGAGCTGGCGCAGAAACTCATCCCAGATTTTGCTGTGGGCTGTCGACGACTGACGGTAAGTCGATTCCCCCGGAAGCAAGCATATTCCAATGAGTATACAATGATCCTGACACTCGGAATCAAAACCATGTAGCCAGGGATCAACTACCTGGAGAACCTGACGGCGAAGAATGTCACCACTCTGTACGGAGAAATTAGGGCCACCACTCCCACCGGCTGTGTGACCGAAGACGGCAAGGAGCACGAACTAGACGTTCTGATCTGCGCCACCGGGTTCGACACCACGTTCAAACCACGGTTCCCCTTGATCGGACGAACCGGTAAAGATCTCGCAAAAGAATGGGAAATCGAACCGCGCAGTTATCTCGGCATGGCGGCCGCCGGCTACCCGAACTACTTCATGTACCTGGGTCCAAACTGTCCCATTGGCAACGGTCCCATCATCTTCTCGATCGAGATCCAGGGCGAATACATTGCCCACTTCATGAACCGGTGGCAGAAGGAGGACATCCTGACGTTTGACCCCAAGCCCGAAGCCGTGGACGATTTCATCCACCAAAAGGACCTGTTCATGCAGGAGACGGTGTGGAACAGCAGCTGTCTCTCATGGTACAAAAACCCACACACGGGTAAGATCACGGCCCTCTGGCCAGGAAGCACGCTGCACTATATGGAGACCCTGGCCAACCCGCGATACGATGACTACAACGTCGAATATCGTGGTCGGCGATTCGCGTACCTGGGCATGGGTTTCTCGCAAGCCGAGCTGGACCCAAACGTCGATGTGACGTACTATATCCGAAACCAAGACGATGACGCTCCTTTGTGTCGACCACTGTTCAGCACACGGAACGCCAAGGACATCACTCCTCGAATGACCACATTGGCCGAGGCTGGGCTGTAAACATACGGAAAGGAGGTTGTGGACGTTGGAACAACCGGAGTAGGGGGTTCAGGCCTCTTTGTCGGGCACAAATAAATCTATCTTTCGTTTTGCTCTGCGCTATATGGAATATACGTATAGGTGAATGAGAAATCCTGCTTGTACTTGTTCGGATTGGAATACATCCTCTGTGAAATGTACTTGCCGTCCACTATTTATTATCTGTAACCATGCTGCGATGTTCAGAAGAGTTGCTCACACCACCACCACCACCACCACCACCACCACCGTGCCGAAAGAGACCTTTTCCAGCTCCTGAAATTCTGACTCGAAACCGTAACCACGACAAGATTTCACGTTCTGACTGAAAATCGGCGACACTACTCCTTCGTCGGACCTTTCTCACTGCCGCCGCAAGTCCTCGTCCCATATCCCGTCGCATAGTCCTTGACATGACATCCGGCCGCTTCGATTTCCTTCCTGGCGCATTCATTCTCCGCCGTGATCTGAGCACACTTCACCGCCTTGTCCCAGCCGCGCGACATGCTCCCGCCTCTGATCAGTTGCACGCAAGGTTGCCGCATGGCTAAGTGGTCTGTGACTTCGGGGTTCTCTTGAGGTGGAGTCGTTGGAATGGGGGAAGATGATGAAGATGGCGCCGTAGCACCAGGCTCTGCGTCGTCGTCGCTGCTGCTACTGTTGCTCGTATGAGACATTTTCGTGTCGGCCTCCTTGTTGTTGTTACTGTTGTGTCGGTATTTCGGAAGAAGGGCAAGTAGACGGGAGAATCTAGGTAAGTGCATCCTTGTCAGATTCACGGACAGAACGGGTACATTGGTATTTTGTGGGAGAAAACTCTGGAGACTCAGTGAGAGATGAAAGATCGGACAGGCCTTGCGCAGGCAATTTTGAGGTTCAGGCTTCTTAAAACGGGACGGGACGCTCTCAAGGATGTCTCGTGTGAATTTTTGTTCGACTCGACGAAAGAAAGGCACTTACTTGGAATATGATCACAGCGCGCGCGGACAGGTGTGAAGAGAGAGGGACGCGGCCAGGAAAGCGACGACGACGACGGATGGACGGTGAAGATATGTTACGAGACTCAAAGGTAGACAACAACAACAAAGAGATGAGGGACGCTAGCGCAGTGAATTTGAATTGAATTCAACAGTGTGTGTGTGTGAGAGAGATATCGATAAGTCAAGCCGTCTTTTTCTTCTTATCATCACGGGGTCGTCTGGCAGCGACATGACTGTACTTTACCCGTCATGCTGTTAACAACGGGAGGGCACTATACCTATACTTCTTGGGTTACTATGTATTATATGTGTAGTGCTATAATGGATGATGGACAGATAGAACCAGTCTAGAAGTCCTTGTGAGCTGGCTCGAGGATTGTCATGATATACGATTTTGTGTTTGGAGCATGGAGGATAAACTCACCAAGTCGCTGTCCTGTTCTAAACTGTCGACGCAATGGCGAGGCAAGGCTGTCACTAAGAGCCTCGTCGGTATATGAAACTACCGGGGGGGAGGGACTCCTGCTTTGAGTCTAGCTGACTTGGCGAGGCCCCATCCACGTCCATGTCCATCATGGGTCCATCGTCCCCCATCCCCAATCACCAATCACCAATCGAGAAATATTTATTTACTCGTTATTATTTCCACTCCCTACTTTCTCTATCGTCAACTCTATGATCTTCCTCAAACGCACTTCAGAGCCCTTTCTGACCAATAGCTTGTGAGCTGTTTTGGGGTTACTTACATGTGGGATATCCTTCTGTGCGCGCGGGCGGAAAATGGGTTTACGTGTTTTTTATCAAGACCTTGCTTGGTTTGTCTATCTATCTGTCCCCTTCAGACTCCAAATTCAAGGTCCAAAGATAGATACGAACCCCGATAGGCGAGTGGCACTCTCTTTCCCCCAAAACACCGCGGGGCCTTTGCCAACGTCATAAACTGCCAACAGCAGAGGGGGGAAGGGCTCAAAGACTTGAGCACCAACTCATGTATATGGCCTGCGAAAACAGAACCGCG